TGTTTCTAGCTCTCGCTCTCTCTCTCTGTAAAAAAAAAAAAATCCATAAAATAACATATTTTTAAAAATACAGCCTTGCAGCACGGGTCTGCCCTTTTTCGCTGGGAAAACAGAGGGAAATATCAGCCGTGACGGGCGGCCCCTGGGAAGGTTTAGCTTTTCTCTCTCTACGTCCGGGATTTCAACCGATCACGGCGGATATACACGGGCCCGGTACACATTTTTATTTTGATTGATTGATTTATTTATACTATATTTTATTTTATTTTATTTACAGAGAGGAAGGGAGAGGGACAGAGAGTCAGAAACATCGATGAGGAGAGACACATCCATCCGCCGCCTCCTGAGCGCCCCCCACTGGGGATGTGCCCGCCCCCGAGGCCCATGCCCTGGACCGGGAATCGAACCCAGGACCCTTCCGTCCACAGGCCGACGCTATACCCGCTGAGACACACCGGCTTCGGCGAAAAAAGGAACCGTTTAAATTTTTTTCTTTTTTTAGTTTTTGCATTGGCGGGATGGGGGTGGGGGGGCCCAGGGCGGGGGTTGGGGGTGTCAGGGGGGAGGAGGGGGCCCTCAGGGTTGAGGGGGGCCCTCGGGGCAGGGGTTGGGGTCCTCAGGGTTGGATGGGGGTTTGTGGGGCTCAGGGCGGGGTAGGGGGTGTCAGGGGGGCCCTCGGGGCAGGGTCTGGGGGTTTGGGGGTGCTCAGGGCAGGGCTGGGGGGTGTCAGGGGGGAGGAGGGGGGGCCCTCATGGTTGGGGGGGCCCTCGGGGCAGGGTTGGGGGGTTGGGAGGCTCAGGGCGGGGTTGGGGGGTTTCAGGGGGGAGGAGGGGGGCCCTCAGGCTTGGGGGGCCCTCGGGGCAGGGTCGGGGGGTTGGGGGGCTCAGGCGGGGTTGGGGGGTGTCAGGGGGGAGGAGGGGGGCCCTCAGGGGGGTTGGGCGGCTCAGGGCAGGGCTGGGGGGTGTCAGGGGGGAGGAGGGGGGCCCTCATGGTTGGGGGGGCCCTCGGGGCAGGGTTTGGGGGGTTGGGAGGCTCAGGGCGGGGTTGGGGGGTTTCAGGGGGGAGGAGGGGGGCCCTCAGGCTTGGGGGGCCCTCGGGGCAGGGTCGGGGGGTTGGGGGGCTCAGGCGGGGTTGGGGGGTGTCAGGGGGGAGGAGGGGGGGCCCTCAGGGGGGTTGGGCGGCTCAGGGCGGGGTTGGGGGGTGTCAGGGGGGAGGAGGGGGGCCCTCAGGGCTGGGGGGGCCCTTGGGGCAAGGTCAGGGGGGTTGGGGGGCTCAGACGGGGTTGGGGGTGTCAGGGGGGAGGAGGTGGGCCCTCAGGCTTGGGGGGGCCCTCGGGTCAGGGTCGGGGGTTTGGGGGGGCTCAGGGCGGGGGGGGCCCTTGGGGCAAGGTCAGGGGGGTTGGGGGGCTCAGACGGGGTTGGGGGTGTCAGGGGGGAGGAGGGGGGCCCTCGGGGCTGGGGGGGCCCTCGGGCCCGGCCCGCGTGGCCAGGAGGACGTCCAGGCCGGAGCCGGTGCGCGCGGCGCCCAGCAGCTCGAACCCGTGCGCCCGCGAGGCGGCCCAGCTCGCCCGGGCTCCGCGCGCGGCCCCGCAGCTCCAGCTCCAGCGCCCGCAGCCCCGGCCGCGCCTGGTCCAGCGCCGTCTCCGCCACCAGCAGCCCCGCGCCTGGGGGACAGGGCGCCCCACGGGGCCGGGGTTAGGGGGACAGGGCGCCCCGTGGGGACGGGGTTAGGGGGACAGGGCACAGGGCGCCCCATGGGGCCGGGGTTAGGGGGACAGGGCGCCCCAAGGGGCCGGGGTTAGGGGGACAGGGCGCCCCAGGGGGCCGGGGTTAGGGGGACAGGGCACAGGGCGCCCCGTGGGGCCGGGGTTAGGGGTACAGGGCACAGGGCGCCCCGTGGGACCGGGGTTAGGGGTACAGGGCACAGGGCGCCCCATGGGGCCGGGGTTAGGGGCACAGGGGACGGGGGGAAGGGGAGAGGGGCCCGGGGGGGGCACCCCATGGGGACATGGGGACCAGGGGCCGGGGGTTAGGAGCGCAGGGGGGAGAGGGAGGAGTGGGGGGCACCCCATGGCGACATGGGGATCGGGGGCTGGAGGTTTAGGGGTGCAGGGGGAAGGGGAGGAGCTAGGAGGCACCCCATGGGGACATGGGGACTGGGGCTGGGCGTTAGGGGCCCAGGAGAAGGGGAGGAGCTAGGGGGCACCCCATGGGGCCATGGGGCTGGAGGTTTAGGGGCGCAGGGGGAAGGGGGGGAGATAGGGGGGACCCCATGGGGACCGGAAGTGGGGGTTAGGGGTGCAGGGGGAAGGGGGGAGGAGCTAGGAGGCACCCCATGGGGACATGGGGACTGGGGGCTGCAGGTTTAGGGGTGCAGGAGGAAGGGGGAGGAGCTAGGGGGCACCCCATGGGGACATGGGGACGGGGGCTGGAGGTTTAGGGGTGCAGGGGGAGAGGGAGGAGCTAGGGGGCACCCCATGGGGACATAGGGACCGGGGCTGGGGGTTTAGTGGTGCAGGGGGAAGGGGAGGAGCTAGGGGGCACCCCATGGGGACATGGGGACGGGGCTGGAGGTTTAGGGGTGCAGGGGGAGAGGGAGGAGCTAGGGGGCACCCCATGGGGACATAGGGACCGGGGCTGGGGGTTTAGTGGTGCAGGGGGAAGGGGAGGAGCTAGGGGGCACCCCATGGGGACATGGGGACGGGGCTGGGGGTTTAGGGGTGCAGGGGTAAGGGGGGAGCTAGGGGGCACCCCATGGAGACATGGGGACCGGGGGCTGAGGGTTAGGGGTGCAGGGGGAAGGGGAGGAGCTAGGGGGCACCCCATGGGGACATGGGGATCGGGGGCTGAGGGTTAGGGGTGCAGGGGGGAAGGGGAGGAGCTAGGGGGCACCCCATGGGGACATGGGGGCCGGGGATGGGGTTTAGGGGTGCAGGGCACAGGCTGCAGGCAGTGCTGGCCGAGCTGGGGGACCAGGGAGAGGGAGGGAGGGAGGGAGAGAGACAAGAGAGAGGGAGAGAGACGGGGGGGGGGGGGGAGGCGGACAGGGAGGCGGAGGAGTGGGGTGAAGAGGCAGGAACCTCGGAGGCGGGTGTCGGGGGGAGAGGGATGCCCAGTGGGAGGGGCCTGCGGGGGCCCCACGCGGGGGCGGGGGCGGGGGCGGGGGGGGGGAGGGGGCCCCAGGGCGGGGGCAGGCGAGCAGGGGCCTCGCAGGGACAGAGGTGAGCTGGGGGGGGCGAGGGCCAGCTCCGGGGAGGACAGCCTGTGTGTGTGCGTGTGTGTGTGTGTATGTGTGTGAGAGCATGTCAGTGTGTGTGTGACCGTGTGCGCGTGAGCGTGTGAGTGAACATGTGTGTGTGAGTGTGCCAGGGAGTCTGTGTGTGCGTGTGTGTGTATCTGTGCATTTTAGTGTGTGTGTGTGTGAGGGTGTCAGTGTCAGTGTGTGTGCATGTGTGTGAGTGAACATGTGTGTGTGTGTGTGTCTGTGTGTGTGTGAGTGTGTGTGTGTGTGTCTGTGTGTGTGAGTGGGTGTGTGTCTGCGTATTTTAGTGTGTGTGTGTGTGAAAGTGTGTCTCTGTGTGTGAGCGTGTCAGTGTCAGTGTGTGAGCGTGTGTGTGTATGAGTGAACATGTGTGTGTGAGTGTGCCAGTGAGTCTGTGTGTGTGAATGTGTGTGTGTGTGTGTGTGTGTGTGTGTGAGAGTCCGAGTGAGAGAGTGTGAGCATGTGTGTTTGAGTGTGTGAGTATGTGTGTGTCTGATAGTGTGTGTGAGTACGAGTGAGAGTGTGTGTGTCTGTGTGTGTGTGTGTGTGTCTGATAGTGTGTGTCTTTGTGTGAGTGAGAGTGAGAGAGTGTGAGTATGTTAGTGTGGGTGTGTGTGAGAGTGAGAGTGTGTGTGTGTGTGTCTGTGT